TGTGTGTGTGTGTGTGTGTGTGTGTGTGTGTGTCTGTGTGTGTGTGTGTGTGTGTATAAACACAGTCTCCAGAAAAGAACATTTACTGTTAATGACTAATTCTGAGAAACATTATTACTCAGGCAGCAGTTGAAATATGTCCAATACCAAAACACCAGAAAAGAAGATATAACTTTCAAACATATATAAAATGTGCATAACATACATATTTTTGGAGAATACTACAAATATTACAAACATAAATAAAACAAAATAAAACACAAACATAAACGAGTAACAGTACTGAGGAAATACTTGAATATGAATATATGATGAGGATTAACATAAGAAGCATAAATCAACTAATAATAAATCAAATGGATATGAAAAACAAACAAATATATAACAACATTGATTATTTGGATACATCCATTTTTTTCTAGGTCAAATGGGTTCAGCAAAAAAAAAAAATGCATTATGAACAAATTTTAGAAGATTGAGAGATTTATGAATATCTGGATGTGTTGAATTCACAATACTCGATGTTTATATGCCAAAATTAAATTCTTCTCTTCCTCCAGCACAGTAGGTGGCGCTGTGAGTTTTTTTTTTTTTTCCCCCCTGACTGTGCTAGTCCGTGTTGCCATGTCCGCTTTCTATCAGTGTTCTTGGGCTTGATTTGGTTATAAACGTTAGAAATCGCGGATGTGAGTTTTTGGAGTTGTTTTAAAATAAACCCGAATTTATTAAAAAACAAATGTGCATATATCCTCTTATTCAACAGAGGGAGGTAACAGATTGTGGGTTTGTGTTTAATTCGATTGCTTCTTTATTTTGCGCAATCTGGCAACCCTGGCAGCCTGTAAACTCTCCCCGCCCATCAAACGACCATGAGTGCAGACTGAAATTCGACACAGCATTTGACTTAAACTTTAAATTGATCTTTGAATGTATCATTTATATTATTGACATTTGACCTTGTCGGCAAGTAATTCCATCCTGATGAACAATGACAGAAGTTAAAGTTAAAAAGGAGTCCACGGACCCGGTAGATATCGAGAATAGGTGAGTTGAGCGCATCCGTACGCATGCCACTCTTGGCCTGTTAACAACATATTCAGCGTGTGGATGAATTTAGAATCAATTATAGTTACTACCAAAGCTACTCTGTCATTTCTGTGTACTGCAAGTATTTATAAACCGACGTTTATTTTTTAATAGCGTATGAGTTTATACAGCTACTTAATTATTATGTATATAGCTATTATTCTGCCCAGAGCATATTTTGCTGCGTTCGACTCTTGCACAAGTTCCGAAAGCGTGATTATGTCCGTGTTACGGATTTTGGTAGAAATGAAATGTATTCGCTGCCTGGGCAATTTCGTATTTTTTTTTCTTTCTCTGTTGGACTAACTGACAAAGACAGGAAGATTTTCATCGCTGTTTCACCATAATGTAAAGCAGAGGAATTTATTTGACCACTGACGTGCTGCTGCAGAGAATGTTGGGAGATTTAGCTGATTTTGGTAAAGCCACTTATTTACCTCTGTTGAAGGATAAAAGAGTTGTGTCTGCAGTTTCCACATGGGATCACAGACCAGGTCATCCAGAATGACATGCCTCACGTTGAGGTGCAGCAGCGGGCCATGGCCATCAACAGACTGCTGTCTGTGGTGAGATGCTCAGCTCCAGCTGACAGTGCATGAAACATGGCCATGCTTTTATACTCATGTCTGACTCTTTATTTGTGTTCTCAGGGTCAATTAGACTTGCTCAAAAACAGCAATGGCCTTTTATACAGGCTTAAGGATGCTCAGTCTGCCAGGTTTGTCTCTTTAAATGCAAGAATATGCACAAACAAATTAATATTAACTGCAATATCAAATAATTTAATTTGCACACAAATTAGTGAATTTAGTAAAACGAAATACATGCTTTTACTTAATACTGCATTTATTTGTTTCATTTGAATTCATTTAATCTTAAATAGAATCAAATTAAACAAATAAATGCAATATTGCATGTGTGTTTATATCTTTTTACTAATTCACTAAATGTGCACACACAAATTTAGTGAATTAATATTAAAATTTTAAAAATACATTTTCAATTTTATTTGAATTAATATTACTTCACTAAACTAATGTGCATTGATACATGTGGTGAATTAATATTAATGAAAATTTAAATAAAATTAAGTTTATAAAAAATATACATATATAAAAAAAAATATATATATATATAATATAAAACATATATACAATTCTTTGAATCTGAATTTTAATTAATAATAATTTACTAAATTTGTGTTCACACCACATGTCAAATTTAGTGAATTAGTATTAATTCAATTCAAATAAAATAATTCAAAAGAATATTAATTAAAATGATATACTGTTTCTTTTTTGACAGTAAAGTAAAAGGCTCTGATAACCAAGAAAAGCTAGTTTACCAGATCATAGAAGATGCTGGAAATAAAGGTGCAATGCATTTTATCATTTGCATATTGTTGTTTTATTTTTTCGATAAATCACAATTAATATTGATCAAGAAAGCTTATTTCAATAGCTTTTTCTGATTTCTAAAGGAATTTGGACCAGAGACATCAGATACAAGAGTAACCTTCCACTCACAGAAATCAATAAAATCCTCAAGAATCTTGAGAGTAAGAAACTCATCAAAGCGGTGAAGTCTGTTGCGGTGAGTTGATCTCGGAACCTTATTTAAACATTTAAAATGTTTTATTAGCTTCAGACCTACAAAAATGTCTTTCCCATCCAGGCCTCTAAGAAGAAGGTCTACATGCTGTATAACTTGCAGCCGGACCGATCTGTGACAGGAGGCGCCTGGTATAGCGATCAGGATTTTGAGTCTGAGTTTGTTGAGGTTCTCAACCAACAGTGCTTTAAGTTCCTGCAAAGTAAGGTGAGATTGTAATATTTCTTATTCCTCTTTGTGATCTTTGAAATTTAAGGCTTTGAGTTTAAAAGAAGTGTGTGTATTTTCAGGCTGAAGCAGCGAGAGACAGTAAGCAAAGCCCCATGGTGCAAAGAAACAGCTCATTGGCCACCTCTCATGAAGTGTGGAAGTACATCTGTGAGCTCGGCATCAGCAAAGTGAGTGTGAACAATATCTTCAAGGAATAGGAATAGCCCAAAATGTAAAATATGCTGAATGTTTACTCGCCCTCAAGCCATCCAAGATGTAGATGAGTTTGGAGAAAAATAGCATTCATCACTTGCTCACCAATAGATCCTCTGCAGTGAATGGGTGCCATCAGAATGAGAGTCCAAACAGCTGATTAAAAACATCACAATAATCCACTGAATTGAATGAACATAATAGGTATAATACGTTATGATATTCCTGTTTGCAGGTGGATTTGTCCATGGAGGACATTGAGACCATTCTAAACACGCTGATCTTTGATGGCAAGGTGGAGATGACCATAATCGCTGCTAAAGAGGGGACAGTGGGGAGTGTAGATGGACAGATGAAGCTCTACAGGGGTGTGAATCCCATAATTCAACCCACTGGCCTGGTCAAAACACCATGTGGACTGTGCCCGGTAACCTTTTAGTACATTAAAATCACAAGTAGGGTTGCATGATATATATCGAATTGAAATCGATATAGTGATATTGCTTAGGGTGGTTGTCAAACAGTGCAGGTTATGATTTATTTAAAGAAATTGGTTCACCCAAAAATGTACTCACCCTCAGGCCATTTAAGATGTAGATGACTTTGTATCTTCATCCAGATTTGGAGAAGTTTAGCATTACATGACTTGCTCACCAATAGATCCTCTGCAGTGAATGGGTGCCGTCAGAATGAGAGTCCAAACAGCTGATAAAAACATCACAATAATCCACAAGAAATCCACACCACTCCAGTCCATCAATTAATGTCTTGAGAAGAGAAAAGCTGCACGTTTGAAAGAAACAAATCCATCATTAGGGCATTTTAACTTTAAACCATTGCTTC